TGGGGGCTGCTATGCCCTCTTGCTGCCTTTCCTCCAAGATGGAATCGAATTAGCTTGTGCATTGAGGATCACCCCCTTGAGGAGCAACCACTCTTCCTGAACTCCCCTCCCCCTGGGGTCGTGGTCCCTTAGGGCCTCACTGACAAGCCTCCTGAACTTGTCAAATTTGGCTTTCCTGAAGTCAAGAACTTCCATGTTGCTGACTGACTTGTCAGCTTTACAGCGGATGGTGAGGGTGATCAGCTGGTGGTCACTGTCACCCAGCTTCCCATCGATCACTAGGTTGCCAATTAGGTCATTCCCAATAGCCGGTACCAGGTCCCAGTACCAGGTCGAGCAGTGCTTTACCTCTAGTTGGCCCACAGACTTCTTGAGTCAGGTAGAGGTCATGCACACATGATAGGAAGCTTTGCTACCACTCAGATTTTGCTGATTGATCCTCCCAGGTAATGGAAGTCACCCATGACAACCATGGTCCTGGAGCATGTGGCCTCAGCCAATTCCCGGGCGAACGCCTTATCAAGCTCTTGACTTTGGGTGGGAGGTCTGTAGTAGACTCCCACTGTTGTGTCCCCTGTGCCGTGTTCCCCACAGACTTTAACCTAGAACGTCTCCAGTTGTCCACCCTGGTCGCCAATATCAGCTTGCAGGGATGCGTAGCTTTCCTTAACATAGAGAGCTACATCTCTGCCCCTTTTATCTACTCGGTCCCTCCTGTACAGGGTATAGCCATCTATATCTGTGGTCCATCAGGTCTCTGTTATCCCTATGATGTCATAATTATTTGCATTAAGCAGGAGGACGAGTTCCTCCTGCTTATTCCCCAAGCTCCTGGCATTTGTGTACAGACATCATGTATGTGGGGTGGGAAGCAGGCAGCTTCTGTGGTTCTGGCTGTAGCTGTAGCTGCTGCCTTCCTTTTCCCCCCTCCACCTCTGCACCCTGCTTTCCCCCCCTGAAGCCTTTTCTCCCCATCTTCCTCTACTCTTTCCCCCTCTGTGCAGCTTCTGCTCCCCTGCTTTCCCCTCTCCCCACTCCCTTTACCTTTGTTCTGTGCTGGCAGGGCCCATGCACACTCCAGCCTGGGACACTGAGTATGCCTCAGCCCAGTCCATAGCAGCAGCTTGTAGCCTGCATATGGGGTCTGGGCTGTGACCATGTGTAATGACTAGAATGGGAATGGAGCCTGCTGATGCGAAGTGAGGGTAAAGGCTGGGGGGTGGAAACAGAAGGCAGAGGCTAATAGGGGAAGCAAGGTCTGAAGCTGGGGGGTAGACAGGATGCAGGGGGGCAGGCACAAGCTGGGGGCAAGCTGCTTCACCTCCCCACACCACCTGCCTTCTGACAGCAGTATGGGGGATGAATTAAAGATGACCCTCCAATAATTAGATTCTGTACATCAAAATTTATAACAAATTTTCCATGTATAGAATCTAATTTGGGGGGAGCGGTTGTTTTAAATTCAGAGTCATCTTAGGTTTGAGTAATTATGGTATTCAGCATAGTTCTAATAATTAAAAAGGTGAGCTGGATATAATTATGAATGCCTTGGATTCTTGTATAATATTTCGTTATGAGTCTTCAGAATAAATTGTGAACAAAGAGTCAGTATAATTCAGTGGAAGAGATCTGTACAACATGAACAGTTAAATGCATATGTAAGCTCAGAGTGCTACATGCTTTTCATTATTTTACCTCTCAGTAAAGATGGAGACTTGTGATCAGTATTTTAAAATTTTTGCCCCTCTATTTTGATAGCAGTGCATAATTTTAATTTATTTTTGAATTTTTAGCATTCTCTTCAAAGAAGTGAATTTGATCGCTGTGCTAATTTGGCCCAACCTGGAGGAACATTCTCCACTACCAGGGGAGCTAATCTGACCCTCTTAGTCCGTCAACTTCTGTTTTTCTATAGACAGAATGAAGATTCTAAGCGTTTGGTGAGTACCAGTGCAACTTGCATCTGAAGTAAATAGTTCTACTTTTTGCATTTTCAAGGCACATTGGCTGATTACAGATGTGAAAAAAAGACTAGTGCTTTACTTTCAGCTTGTTGTACCCCCATGCTGGAGCACAGTGCATGCCCAGAAGAAGCACTGTGTTAGTTTGACTCAGCTCGCCCAATGTCTGTATAGATCAGGAACTTCAGTAGGGCTTCTTGGTGCTTTTATTTAATAGCTGATTGAATCAGCTTTAGATAAAAGCACCAAAAAGCCTCGCTGAAGTGCCTGATCTGTACAGACTTTGGGGAGCTGGGTCAAACGAATGTGTTTTATCTTCTGGTAGAGCACTGCTTATTTTTTTTTGTTTTTTGTTTTT